TTGTTCATCTGAGGTTGTACTTACATACTTTTGAGAACTGCTAAGGAGCAGATGATTTTTATTATGTCCTGATACAGAAAACCATGGAACTCAAAGAAGGTGTACTTGCTTTTTCACATGATTGTACATACATACATATACTTGCTCTCTTGTTTAATTCTTAGTGAGCCATAAAGTTGAAAGATTTATTTTTAAAGAAAGTCACTATTCTTTATATTTATATTCTTTATATTCCTGGAACTATTTCCTTAAATGGACAATGATTGGTCTGGTTGATCATAGAAACAGTAGTGTTTTTAGAATTGATCCAAGACCCCACAGTCTCAGATTTGGTTCAGGGCCTCACAGTTTATGAGGGCCCTCAAACAACATTGACAGACTGGTAGCAATAATATGCAGTTGTACTAGCTAGTCAAAATGGCAGCAACAGTTCACCATTTGTAAAACAAAGCATTTCTCAAAATGCAAGCAACAGCACCTGAATCAATCATCTTTGGGGGTGAGCAACCAATGAGGGTACTAATCCAGCAGTAGGCTTGCCCCTTTGCAGTTTATTGGTCACATTTCTTCAAAGGCAGTTTCTGATTGGTTTAGCTGTGTGCAGAATTTTTTTTTTTTAAACACATGATTTCTACAATGGGTGAAGTTTTAATGCAACACTTGTGCAACATATTGACCCTGGAGGAAGTGGAGGCATCAGAAAACCAAGTTATTTACAAATGCTTGTCTTTCAGGGAAGGAAAAAAAAGCACGGCAGTAAATGTTTGTCAAGCTTTGTTTTGGTGAGAGTAGCTTGCTTGAGTGTGTTTGTTGCAGCTGCACACATCGTTGAGTGAAAGCTCCTGATCCTACATAAAAGGCAGATTGCCAACTGATAAATAGGCTGCAGGTGGTATTTTACAATTGCAACTAGACACAAAACATGCCCTTGTTCAAAATGAGACAGGGCTGGCAGAAAGAGCTCCCAGAGGTGGAAGCTGCAGATAGTTAGTGGGATGTACATAAGAACAGCCAAAGATAATTAGCAGGCAAGATTAAACAACAGCTGCCCATTCTTTCACTTGTTCTGAAACAATAGTCATCTTTGTCTGCATTAGAAGGAAGGTTGTTTGTGGTAATAGAGCTCCCATTAACCACTCGGGCAATAGCTTAAGGATAAAAGCGAGTCCTCCACCATTTCTTTCTCTTACAATTGTCCACTTAGGTCACTGATTTCAAAAAACAAAGCGATACAGTAAATGTGAACTTCTTGCTGCCGTCTAGTGGTCAGGTGGATTTGGGCCCCCCAGAATTGGTAGCCCTATTTTTAGCCCTCTGCTACTTGCATCTTGATTCTGCTTTTCTTCTGCCTACTGGTTCTCTGCTTTTCTTCTGCCTACTGGTTCGTTTCTTATGAGCTGCCTTGAATTCTGTAGAGCA